TAAATGTTCTGGCCTGGAAGTGATACATGTCACTTCTGGTCACAGCCCCTTGACCCATTGCTCCATCGAACCACAAGGCGCCAGAAAGTGCAGTCCTTCCATGTGCTCAGAAGATAGAAAGCTGGAAATATTTGGTGAACAGTATTAATGACTAACACAACTCTGATTGCTTCTAAATGTTTTTGAACATATCTTTGAGATGGGAAACAACCATGGTTGGATACTGGGGTAGAGTCGCTGAAGGAAGACAATTACGTTTATTTCTGCTGTTCAAGAGTAGGCTCCTTTTCCCTGGAAAAAGAACAGCTGTACATTCAGTTCAGTAAGTATTTGTGGAATGTCTATCATGTGCCAGGCACATGAGTAGAAATGATATTTTTATGAAATAAAGATGTCTTAGTTATTTTCATGTCTTACCAACAACCGAGTTCAGTTTGGCCTGTGGGAAGGATAATTTTAAGGCCTGGAACTGTAGGTAATAATGTAAATTTTTAGGAGTCTTTTTTTTTTGGTTGTTGTTCATTGTTGCCTAAATAATTATAACACTCACATGTTTGAGAAAAGTATTGCTTTCCTGAAATCTAGGTTTGGCTAAAATTGTTTCTGGAGAGAGATAATGACATTTGCGGGATATTGCCATGGCAAATATTTTGTTGCTGCTTACGGTTCCATTCTGCAGAGAGTTAGGAAGGGTGTAATTTTGACTGGGTGAATGCCCTGAATTCATCCTAAGTTAAGATGCCTCAAAAAGGGGCGCCTGGGTGGCTCAGTTGGTTAAGCGACTGCCTTCGGCTCAGGTCATGATCCCGGAGTCCCGGGATCGAGTCCCACATCGGGCTCCCTGCTCAGCGGGGAGTCGGCTTCTCCCTCTGACCCTCCTCCCTCTCGTGCTCTCTGTCTCTCATTCTCTCTCTCAAATAAATAAATAAAATCTTTAAAAAAAAAAAGATTCCTCAAAAAGAAGAGTGGGATGAAAAAGTAAACACAGACTTTGCAGTGGTGTGCTTGGTTCGTAACTACACCCGCACAGCAAGACTGGGTGTCATCGGGCATCTTCGATGGTGCAGAGAATATTGGCAAGGAAGAGAAGGAGAGCCATGGATGTTGATGTGAGACCGTTGCATCGTTAGAAGAAGGGAAAAGTGGGGCACACTGGGCTGACTGCCAGCAGTATAGTGGGGTGCCTTGCCAAAAAGACATGAAGTTTTACATAAAGATTCTCTGCCCATCCAACGGATTGTGGTACACTTAGGCTGAAACAGGGCTGTAGCAGTTAGCTGTGCCACAATAACGCTGTGTAACAAACCAGTCCAAACTTCAGTGGCTTCAAAAATCTATTCTCACTTGTGTTGCTGTGGGTCAGCTGGGAGTCAGGATCGAGGCTCAAGCCATCGGTTGAGTGTGGGTCTGCCCCGCCTGTCTCTCCTCCTCCTTGGATCAGTGGGCTAGCAGGGGCAGGTACTTGTGATGGCAGAAATATAGAAGTGTACACTCGTGAGCACATTTCAGTACTCTGCGTCATATCTTGTAATGTCCCACTGGTCAGAGCAGGTCACTTGGCCCAACATCAGTAGGGCTTAGATACCTCTCCCTTTTGGGGGGCAGCTGTGAAGTTGTTTTTAACAATAACCTAATTACCGTGAAGGCTTTGAGTTGTTTCCTTACACATTGGGCCCTTGATCTTTGAGATCAGTGATAAAGAAACTGTAACAGACCTCAGGAATATATACTCTTGGGGTTATTCAGAGCACCCTTTTGAGTCTTGCCACTCAAGTCCATCCCACATTCATCTGCCCCACATTTCCTAAGCACAGTTACATCAGATGGGAGCAGAGGCATTTGAGTAGAGCCTGGATTTAAAACATGTAAAGGGGGGTGGTGCCTGGGTGGCTCCATCGGTTAAGTGTCCAACTCTTGATCTCAGCTCAGGTCTTGATCTCAGGGTCATGAGTTCAAGCCCCATGTTGGGCTCCATGCTGGGTGTGGAGCCTACCTAAAAATAAAATATGTAAAGGGGGATGTTAACTTAACTGAATTTTATAAAAGAATTTTTTTTAATATTTAGACTTAAAAAATGTAAAGGGGGGCATAGACATCTCCCCAAATCTCCCCATTTGGCGGGGAAGAAAACCATCCACAGGATTCATCAAACTGGAGGGTGTGGCGGTCCCAGGCATCCTAGTCCTCCGGTATCCCCCTAAGATACCCAGACGGCTATGCACACACACAGAAATACATGCACGCGTGTGCGTGCTTGTGAGTACATGCAAACACACACACACGATTTCCCTGTGTTTGCGATTCCTTTCCTTAGTCAAGTTTAATTAAACACCCTAGGTTTTTCATATGTATGCATTTCAACACAGAACTACATAAGTCAAAGAGCCACCAAGAGCAGGAGGCCCCCAGATGGCCAGGTTCCTGGATTTCAGAGAAGCAGGACCAGGCCCTCGGCTCCCTCTGAGCAGCTCCAGCAGTAATTACTAGCAAGCCTGCATTCTCCTCCCTGCCCTCAGTTGGCGCACCCCGTTCCATTAGGTACCATCTATTCTAGGTAAGGCCAGACCCCAATAACAGAACACAAAGGTTTAAGAAGTGGGTTGTCTGTTTCTTCACCCATCTATAAAGATGTATGTAAAGCCTGAGCAGATTACTTTGGAAATTGGCCTTTCATCTGAAAACACTTCCAAGAAATGTTAAAAAAGAAGACGAAAAAGCTTGTCCTTGCTTTACCCTGGAAAAGTTTTTCTCTTCAGTTTTTATTTACTGTGATTGAAGTTGCACCATCTTGCTCTTGTTAGACTCACCTCTGGTTACTGAGGGAGATGAGGGGCCAGAAGACACAGACCTCTGAACTGCAGCACAGGACCAGTCCCCCCGCCTCAACCGCCAAGAAAGGAAAGAAAGGGTATTAACTTTGCTAAACACGTACTCTGTGCCTGCCCCTTTCCCCCATCGGACCTCGTGTAATCTCCCCATCAGCTCGCTGAGCTGGGCACTGGGAGCATCGCCAGCCATAAAATGAGGAAAGGAAACCAAGCCTTAAGGAAGCTGAATAATTGACCCTCAATCACATAGCTAAAAAGGAGCAGTGCCTTGATTCAAAGGCTGCTTACTTTATGTTTTAAAGTCACTAACGTTTTTTTCCCTTTGGCGGGCAGGTCCATGAATTTTCACACACGGTAGAGATTTGTGTAACCAGCGCCGTAATCAGCATAGGGAAACACTCATTTATGCTCTCCTTTCCACCAAGCTCTGGCAGCCTCTGATCTGTCTTCCAGCTCTATCATTTGGGTTTTTTGAGAATGTCATAAATGGAGTCACACAGTAGGTAACCTCTTGAGATTGGCTTCTTCCACTGCTGATGCCCTGCGGACCCATCCGAGTTGCTGCACGCACTGGGTCGTTCGGTGTTCTTGCTGAGTGGCATTTCACAGGATGGATGGAGCAGTTTGCTTAACCACCCACCCACTGAATGACATAATGGGTTGTTTCCAGTTTGGGGACTATTAATGAAGAAAGCTATTGTAAACATTGGTGTAAAGGGTTTGGGGTGAACATAAGTCCTCCTTTATCAAGGGTAGATTCCCAGGAATGTGGCTGCTGGGTCATATGGTGAGTGTCTGCTGAACTTTGTCAGAAATTGCCAACATGTTTTCCAGAGTGCGGTTCCATTAAAAACCAGTCGTGAACAACTCAAATCCATGTGTTCCCCTCTCGTTAGCTGTGGTGTATGGATATTAGGCAAAGCTTCCCTTCAGGGAATTTTCACTTGGGAGCTACGGGAGGCAAAGGCAGAAAACTTCATTTGGCCTCAGCAGGGTAACATGGCCCAGGGACTCGAGGGGCAGGGGGAACAGTCTTCGTGGAAGACAGCTGGGAGCATGACTGTGCCACCTGGACCCCAAACCAGGAACAATTCGGTGGTTTTGGCTAAGCCTTAAACATTTTGTTGGAATTGAAATGCCAAATGCTCTTGCCGCAAAACAGAAGTGACTAAGAGGCGGAGGGAACGCAGAATTATTTGTGTTGCAACATGATCCATCTCCCCAGACCCACTGCAAAGGGAAATTGCTGACTGCTTCAATGCCCCCGACCTCCAGGGGCAAGTAATAGAACTGTGTCCCCAGGCAACACTTGTAAATCTCTGAGCAAATCTAGGGAGAGTCGTGTGAAATGTGTTCCCTCCATAGCTCACCCAGAAGCTTCTGGATTTTTCCCGATATATAAATTCTGTTCACTCCACCTCCTTATTACCGAGCTTCCTGAAGATAACTGCCAACATGGTTGACAAAATAACCTTTTTTTTAAGTTTTTAAGAGGTTGGAATCCCAGGCTTAGACTCCGCATTCTCAAAAGGTCCAGAGAGGAATTTTGCAAAATTGGTCTTCCCTATCTAGGACAGGAGGATTCCTAATAGCACGGGACTGGATGGCCCAAGAAAAGCTTTTCCTGGCGCTTTGAAGAAAGTAGTCAGCAACCCCACTCCGAAATTGCTTGCCAAAAGTCTGAGAGCTCGGAGCCGGGATCTGAGCCCTGCCGTGTACTCCAAGCCCTGTTCCTGCAGCCTAGGCATCCATGTTTATACTCCTCATTTATGTTTTCTTTCAAGTACTTTATGGACTGCCTTGTGAAAGGACTCTAATTTACACTTCCCTGTTGAATTCCAGTAGGTCGAAGCACTGCCTATTATTTTTATTTCTGTTTTGAGAAATGGGTTGTTTTGAGTCCTTGGAAATTTGAGAAGCAATTTATTCTGTCATTTAGCCTGGTCTCAAGAAAGGCAGCTGACCTCCTCATGCTCTTTGGCCTGGAAAACGTTATTGTTGGTCTTCAATCTTGAAGAAGTCATACAGGTTGGGAACTGGTCCACCATCAATCAATCAGCTGACTTGAGTTAAGAAAGGCTTTGGAAATCCAGTTAAGCAAGATACTTACACAAGTATTTTGAATCCAAGGTGTAACCCAAAAGGGTTTAAAGAATAAGATTATTTCTCGGCATGCGTCTACCATTTATTCCCTGCCGAATGGACTTGTACATAGCTCAGGCCCTAACCAAGGTCTTTCGATGTACACCAGCATGCACCATCCCCCAAGTGAGTGATTCTCATTAAAATCACTTGGGAAGTTTTTTTTTTTTAAGGATTTTTTGGGGGGGGGGGGGGGAGGGGAAGAGGGGGGGAGGGGGGAGGGGAGAGAAGCACACTCCCTGCTGAGTGTGGAGCCCATCCTGGGGCTCGATCTCATAACCCTGAGGTCGTGACCTGAGCTGAAATCAAGAGTCGGCCGCTTATCTGACTGAGCCACCCAGGTGCCCCAAAATCACTTGGGAAGATTTTTTTCAAATAAACTTTTTATTTTGAAGTAGTCTTAGATTTACAGAAAAGTTTCAAAGGTAGTATGGAGAATTCCTATATATCTCCCGCCCATCTTCCCCGAAGACTAGCAAACACTTGGAAAGTTTAAAAAAAAAAAAAAAAATCCTGATGACAAAGCTGCGGCCCAGACCCATAAGATATGAACCTCTGAGGATGGGATCCCAAAGCATCAGTATTTCTTTGAAGCTTCTTCCCCGGTAGGTTCAAGGCGAAGCCAAGATTGAGAACCGCTGCTACAAACCCTTACTTCTCCAAGTATGCTCAGCCAAACAGCAGGACCACCATCACCCGGGAGCTTGTTAGAAATGCAGCGTCCTGGGGTGCCTGGGGGGCTCAGTCATTAAGCGTCTGCCTTCGGCTCAGGTCATGATCCTAGGGTCCTGGGATGGAGCCCCATGTGGGGCTCCATC